AACATGTTTATATTCAAATTAATCAGTATTTTACTAGAATCCCAGCTATGTTAATTATATTCACCCAGGTCATTTCACTGGCTTTTTATAAGAGAGAAGCTGGGTCACCTAAGAACTGATAAATATACACGCGTTAGACCTGGGCCTGTGCCAACTGTCAAACGTACTACCTCCCCTCCCCCCACGCCCCCTCGCTCGCTCCCACCCTCTCTCTCCCTCATCTGCTTGGCGTTGCTGGAATCCTTGTAAAACAGTAAATAATTTTAATATAAACATTATGTATTTTGCACAAGAGATAAAAATTAATCACCTGTATCACATAACAGTAATGATTTAAGAGTAAAAGTGTATATCTACGTATAAAGTATTCCACATACACGTAAGTATAAATAAAAAGTTTGTGATGATCGGACAACGTCCATTTCGGTTAACGTCACGTTTCCAAGAACGTATCTAGGACGTTAACCGGCACATGACTGTACTTAACCCAAATTTTTACCCAAATTGTAAAAAAATTTTCATGTGTTTTCTCTGTGGTGGCCACAAGATGGTTGGAAGGCCACTCACTCCTCAGAATGCCAGCAGCCACCACAATAGTGGCACTGCTCAGTTAGAATTCATTTCCCAGTTTGTGTTCAGTTATGTGTTTGTGTTACTGTGTACCCTTATTCAAGGTGAGTGGGTAAAGACCATCAAGTTCAAGTGAAAGCAGTGGTGATAATACCTAATTTAATGCTTATTACTTTCTGGGTCTCAAAATTTCCTTAAGAATGCATCTCAACTTTATAATGGAGGTACAGTGCTGTAGGTGCTCCTCTACTTGCGAACAAGTTATGTTCCTGAGGCTTGTTTGTAAGTCCAATTGTTTGTAAGTCCAACTTTACTCTTGTGGATACCAAACATATTGTAAAATATTAAAAGATTATGGATATTTAGTACAGCTATACCCTTTAATACAGCTTTAAAACCTGGCTCACTCTTCTCTTAGGTAATGTTTGTTTTATCTGGAATTTTCTTCAAAATAATCCAGTCTCATCCACATTAAATACCTGTTCTGGCAGGTAACCTCCCTCAGTGATGATGTTTGTATCTCTCAAAGTTTGGAAGTTGAATGTTCTTAAGTACAGTAGAGGAGCACCTGTACTGTATATGGGAAAAATGGTTTCACGATACGGAAAAATTTTCTGGAATGGAACAGTTCTTCTTTAGGGTAAGAATTTATGTATGAGAGGACTTGATGATGATGGCTCTGCACTATATAAACTTTTTCCATCAAACTTTTTAACATTAAACCTGATTACCTATAGTCTTATACAGTTTTTCAACCTACATTATGTACAGTAATTATATTTAGAATATTTTAATTTTGCAAATTGAATTTGTCACGTCGTTTTGATTTATAAATTGTACTTTTTTATAAGAATATTATCTAAGGCAAAATATTTTTTTTCAGATACTGTGACGTCACATCTCAAGGCCAGGTGTAACTAAGTAGAAGTTCACAATGTCAAGCAGAGATAAAAAGTTCTTCTGTGAGGAATGTGGCAAACAGTTTAGCTTAAAGTCTACTCTTCAGACTCATTTACTTGTACACAATGGTATGAAGAAGTTTGAATGTGAGGAATGTGGAAAACATTTTACAGTTAAGGGTGATCTCAAGAGACATGTATTAACACACAGTGATATAAGAAAGTTTGAATGTGATGAATGTGGGAAACATTTTTCACAAAAGATCCATCTCAACAAACATGTACTTGTACACAATGGTATAAAGGAGTTTGAATGTGGCGAATGTGGAAAACATTTTGCACGAAAAGATACTCTCAAATCACACATACTTGTACATACTGGTATAAAAGAGTTTCAGTGTAATGAATGTGGGAAACATTTTGCACATAAGAGTCATCTCAAGACACACTTATCTTTACACAGTGGTGTAAAAGAGTTTGAATGTGAGGAATGTGGGAAACATTTTGCAGTTAAGGGTGATCTGAAGAGACATGTATTAACACACAGTGGTATAAGAAAGTTTGAATGCGATGAATGTGGGAAACATTTTGCACGTAAGAGTCATCTCAAGAGACACATTCTTGTAAAAAGGAGTGTAAAGAAATTAGAATGTGATGAATGTGGGAAACAATTTATACGCAGGAGTCATCTCAAGACACACGTACTTGAACACAGTGGTACAAAAGTTCGAAAGTGATTAATATGGGAAATGTTTTTCCCAAAAGGGTCATCACAGATATCAGAAACTTGTGTATGATATTAACCAAAACCATAATTTTAAAAATGTTAGAATGATTTTGTAGAAGTGAAATGTGCACCTAAACTTTAATACAGCTATCTCTTGCTATACAAATAGCTTATATTCCTTGAAATTCATTTAAATGAATTTTTGTGGAGTGAATAATACAGCATAAGGGAAATATATTTTACCTCAAAAAATTTAATTGGTTCTTGAACAACAAGAAATTTACCTAACTACAGTACGGTACTGGAATTCTGTATCTAACTACAGTACTGCAATTTTGTATCTAACTACAGTACTGGAATTTTGTATCTAACTACAGTACAGTACTGGAATTTTGTATCTAACTACAGTACAGTAGACCCTTGCCATTCGCGGGTGTGTGATTCACGGTATCGACTATTTGCAATAAGCAAATGGTGGCTAGCTTACGAGCCTCTCCTGTAGCACAACAAGTTACTCCCACACACCCGCAGTTTCTCCTCTCCCTTGTTTGCGCTCAACCATTGCCTGTGATGCATCATCTCTTGTGATGTGCTCAAAACTTAGTGTTTCTGTGTGAAATGGCCCCTAAAAGACTGCCTAGTGTCAGTGCTAGTGATGTTAGTGGAAGGAAATGTAAAAGGCAGAAGTCAATGATGACTGACAAAGGAAGTTGAATTATTAGACAAGTTAAAGGAAGGGATGAGTGCTGCTGCTGCTGGTCGGTTGATTGGTATAGGTAGTATACAGTAGTGCACTTGGGTAGTATAAGTTGCTAATCGTGGTTTTGCCTATTCACACCACTCCTTGAAACCTAAGCCCTGCAAATAACTAGGGTTTACTGTACTGAAGTTTGGTATCTAACTTCAGTACTGGAATTCTGTACAGTATCTAACTACTGTACTGTAATTTTGTGTCTTAACTACTGTATTGTAATTTTGTGTTTTACCTACAGTACTGTAATTCTGTACGTAACTGCAGTACTGTAATTACTACCTGTTTTCTTCCACATTTGTAATTCCTCCTTCACTAGTGGTGTCTTTCCTGATAAACTGAAAATTGCTAAAGTCCACCCGGCATATAAAAAATCTGGGGACAAAGGTCTCTTCAAGAACTACCGCCCCATATCAGTCCTCCCAGCCTTGAGTAAGATACTGGAAAAGCTAGCATGTAATAGACTAAATTCCTTCTGGAATGCCAATGACATCTTTACAGACACCAGTTTGGATTTAGAGCTAGAAGGTTGACTGAGAGTGCTCTGCTATCCTTTACTAATGACATCTTAAATTCCTTTGATGACAGTCAGTTCACAGTCGGTATATTCTTGGACCTCTCTAAAGCTTTCGATACTGTCGACCATACCCTCCTCCTTTCAAAGCTTGAACATTACGGCATTAGGGGCCTGTCCCACAATTGGTTTACCTCATATCTGTCCAACAGGATGCAGTATGTCTGTTATAATAACCACCAATCTGACTCCTCGCCTATCTTGTATGGAGTCCCCCAAGGTTCAATTCTCGGTCCAGTACTGTTTTTGTTGTACATAAACGACATAGTCCACGCCAGCCCACTCATAAAATACAACTTATTTGCAGACGATAGTAATCTCTATGCTAGCAACTCAGACCTCCATTCCTTGATGAGAGCTATGAACACTGAATTAACTAAAGTCGGGACCTGGATAATACTTAATAAACTGATCCTAAATCTTGAGAAAACCCACTACACGATCTTTCACAGAAGAAAAAACTTACCTCCAGACTTGGACCCCCTGTACCTTGGTAATATAGTCCTCAAACACGAACAAAATACTAAATTCCTCAGAGTTATTGTTGATGAGAAACTTAACTGGAGAAACCACATACAAGCCATACACAGTAAAATCAATAAACAGTGCGGTATCATGTATCACACTCGACAGTCACTCACTCTCACAGCACTGAAAGAAATCTATCATGATCTTGTTTACCAACACCTGATACACTGTCACACACTATGGGGGGCCTCTGGCTCTTCAAAAACACAATCTCTGGTTACTGCACTAAAGAGAGTTGTACGGACAATGACCTACTTGAAAAAAACAGATCACACAAACGAAAAATTTGCTATATTGAAATTTTTAAAATTCGAAGATATTAACACTTACTGCTGTGTCCTCTTTGTTTACAAATCTATCAATCACTTGCTTGACAATAATTACTTCCAGTTCCGGAATAATCAGAAATACAACTTAAGGCACCCAGAGCTACTAAGACCACCCCCCATGCGCTCCTCTCAGTCCCAGACCTCCATAAAATATCATGGTGTGAAGGTATGGAACAACTTACCCCCACCCATCCGAGCAAAGACTGCGCTCCCTTCCTTTAAATCATCTCTAAAAAAATATCTATTGTCGAAATATTAATATTTCTTGTAACACTTACTATATTTACAGTACAGTACCTGCTTTTATTGTACCACCAAATCCGTTTTATCGGAAATTATCATGTAAATAAATAAGTAATTACCATTGCAATACACATAATTGCCAACTAGACATAATCCTGAAAGCTCCGTCCTCTTGTTCAACCTTATTACTGCACAACCCAGGTTGTAGTGCTCCCCCATTATACTTATGTTTTTAAATTCCACTCTAATTTATATGTATACAGTCAACCCTCACTTTACGCGGTTAATTCAACCCACAGGGTACCGCGGAAAGTGAGAAACGCGTAAAGTGAACAACATAACATATGGGATTAATTGAAATAGAGACCGGGTCGACCCCCAAACTCCACTTTTTGACAACACACAACTATGTTGTAGTAAAAATATTATCTTAACTTTATGATGGTATGCACACACAATTAATAATTAAGAGAAATATCAATAATATTAGGTTTTTAACACTTACATTAGTAGAAAAGATGGCTGGGCACACGGGGATGGACGGTTGGTTCCGAGGCAGAGGGCAGATTATTGGCCCTCACCTGTATCATTTGTATCAATTGTATCACTATCCACCACAAAGGCTTGCAGGGCCTCTTTGTCAAACCCCTCAAAGTCCATATAAGTCCATATCCTCACTATAATTATCACTATCACTGACTTGGGCCGGCTGTGGTGGGTGGCGGGTGAAGAACTCGGTAATGTTTTGATGAACGGGCGACCTTGTGCGCACCATGCTCGTGCCGCTTACACAACATGGCGGATGGCGGGAGGTTTGGATCCAAAAATGGCGCGGCTCGCCAGCCGTTCTCCGCGTAAAGGGGTACACGCACCGCGGAATGTGAGCATTCCTGTTTCGGCAGGGTACCGCTTAAACGTGGAAACGCGGAATGTGGGACCGCGTAAAGCGAGGGTTGACTGTATGTGTGTGTATATATGTATGTATGTACAGTGACCCCTCCGTTAACAAACTCAATCCGTTCCAGAAGGTCTTTCGTTAACCGAAAAGTTCGTTAACCGAAACCATTGCTTCAATGGGTTTTTGGGTAATTGGTTCCAGCTCACCGAAAATTTCCTAAATTCAACAAAAATAGTAGAAAAGTTCACTTACTTTGAGGTGTGTATGTAGAAGGCTCCTGGATGATGATGATGATGATGGGATTTAGAATGGGGGTGGAGGAGAAGGAAGAAGAGAAGGCATTGGGGTGGAAGAGAAGTCACCCCATGGCGCCATTTCACCCATAAAATTTTAGCTCTCTTGGTGTAATTCAAGATTATTTTCTTTAAATCAACACTGCACTGCATTATATATTGTCAATATGTAAAATATATTTCAAAATGACCAATAATTTGCTTGGAAACACAGAAAAAAAGCGTTTAGTTGAAGAGAGTCTCAAGCAAGATGTTACCTCCAGTGAAAACAGAGAGAGACTAACTCCTGTTTGCTGTGTTAAGAGGCTGGATGCCGCGCATTAAACTAGTCACTTTACCTTCAATTATGTTCAATAATTGTTAAAATGACTAAAAAATTGAATATTAAACTTTTAAAATTATTGAATAGTATAAACTTCTTGATATTTACTAAAATAGTAAGGAATTAAAGCCCTAAAACCGATTAATGTATTGGCGGACTGATACTAAAGCTGGTTGCCCGGTCAGTGCAAGCGAAAACATGTTGAGGTCGGTTCGTAAGAACTTCGTTAACCGAATTTTTTTTCGTTAACCGAATTGAAGATCCTTATGGAAGGCAGTTCGTTAATCGAAATTACGTTAACCGAGGTGTTCGTTAAACGAGGGGTCACTGTA